GTCCTTTCCAGCCTGGGGGAGGGGAACCTATATTAAAAATTAAGTGAAGTGAAATTATCTCTTCCTGATTCCCGACCCCATATGATGTGGCTTTAGAAATAGGTCTGGATCGCTACTGCTCCCCTCAGCCATCTGAAGGGGGAAGTTCTAAAGGATGTTTCTGCCTCTCTGCGCATGCCTAGGGGAATCTGGGACAGGCTTGGAGGCTGCATGGGAAGAACAAGAAGCAGCCACGGGTGGGAGGATGGAGGGGTTTCAGAGTGGGCTGTGCCAGCAGCAAAACAGGCCCCCTCGGCCACCACTTCTCATCTCTTCTGAGGCTGCAGGGAAGACGTCTGAAGGTGGCCTGCCCTTGGGTGGGACAGGAATAGTCCTTCCTTCACCACCTCCGTCTCCCAAGGAGGCTGGCTGGAGAGCTCCGTGAATCAGGCACCTGTCTGTGGGGCCGAAAGCCAAGGGTTTGTTCTCTCCTCCCCCCCCCCAAAATGTTTGAAAGACAACGGGGAAGCAGCAGGCACCTTGTTGAGTTACTTGGTACACATGGTGATTTGAATGACATTTTAAAAGGAATGCAAATGTCAGAGCAGGTGATACGTTTAATTGACCCCTAAGAATATAAAAACAAAAAAGCAAGTAACAAGCTTTCAAGGATAAATCATCTTCTTCAAGGCTGTGCATCAAGTTCTTATGGGCCGTTCTAAACTTGCGTGGCTCTTTTTAATGCCCCAAATTCAGTTGTTGGAGGGTGTAGAGGCCAGGTCAGAGTCTAAGAGGGAAGCCGCTGCAGCACATGCATGTTGGTGTCAAGCTCTTCTTAAAAAGTAACTTTCCGAGGTGCGGCCGGAGACTCAGGGCCACCTTCTGCGCCTGCCTGAGAGTCAGAAAGTGAGGCCAGCCTGCGGTCCTGTCCTCGTCGTCCGCTGCTGCCCACCCACCAGCGATCCCGCTTCACGTTTTGCTTTCTCGTCTTTGAGCGTCTCTTTCTCTTTCTGCCTTCCAGAAATTCGCTCCAGTCCCAGTCTTCCTACGGCTCCAGTTCGCCCCCGCTCGGCAAGATGAACAGCATGAACAAGCTGCCCTCCGTCAGCCAGCTCATCAACCCCCAGCAGCGCAATGCCCTGACGCCCACCTCGATGCCCGACAGCATGGGAGCTAACAGTAAGGCCCTCGGCCGCCCCTCGCTCCCTGCAGGCTTTTCCTCCCTGGTAGCCAAGGATTAGCCTTTGAGCCCCACGGCTGGGAGGAAATTAGCAACCCTGGTTCCAGTGGGGTCGCTGTGTTAGGGCGTAGCCCTTCGGACCCAAGGATCAGGGCATTAGAGAAGAGCGTATCGCTGCTGCTAACAAGCCCAGCCAGTCTAAGAGGGGGAAATGTTCACTTGGAATGCAAGAGCCCGAGACCAAGGAAGGGCCAGGCGGCCAACCCAGGTCCTAGTCTTGCAGAGATTCTCTATATTTGGTTTCTCTTGGGCATCTCTTAGCCCAGACAAAGGCTGGTTAGTGAGCAGAGAAACACACAATGTGGACCTCCTTTTACTTCCAGTTTTCTAACTATGGGTGTACCTGGGCCTGTGAGTGGCCTGTGCCTTACCTCTGCTTGTTCCGTGCAGTTCCGATGATGGGGACCCACATGGCCATGGCTGGCGACATGAACGGGCTCAGCCCCACGCAGACGCTGCCCCCTCCTCTCTCGATGCCCTCGACCTCCCACTGCACCCCGCCGCCTCCCTATCCCACGGACTGCAGTATTCTCAGGTGAGTAGGCAGTCGTTCTGCGAAACCTCCCGCCTTCCCTTTCGGGTAGCTTGGGTGGCGTTAGCATCCCCTAGCCGTTTTTCCCCCCAGATCCTTCATTTGGGTCTGTGCTCCTCCCAAGCAGTCCGCCGGTCACAGTTGGCTTGTTCAGCTGGCCTCACGAGCCACCTCGGCCTCCCTTGGCCTTGGCCCACGACATCGCTTTCACCTGCCGGGGCATCTGAAAAGGTGTCTCTGGATCAGGTAGAGGCGGGGGCTGCCGGGGGGGGGGGCCCTAGGGCTTGAACAGAGTGCCTTCGCCAAGTAGCGGAGGCCCTGGATCTTCCTGGAGCCACTGGCCAAGGAGACCACTTGCCATTTGCTTTTGGTTTGGGTTGTTTTGCATTGGTTCCAAGAGAAAACATGTCTCGTTCCACCAGCCCCACACTCTTGTAACATCTGCGCACTGTGTACACTGTGTTCTCTGTCCATGGGGTTGCTTTGCAACACAATTCAGAAACCACGGCTGTGACGGAATGCTCCTTCTTTGGAGCATTGTGTCATGGCAAATACCTGGATCGCTGTCTAAGCATTCACAAAGCGACTGTGCCGGAGGCTCCCTAGCTTTGGGGTCTCTTTCTCTTGCGCACACGTTGCCTTGATGAGGATCTCTTTAGCTTAAAAAACAGTGATACCCTTCAGATGCCACCAGGTCTTCAAAGGTTTCTCCCCAACGCATATGATTCAGCAACTTCTCCCTGCTCCATTCACCATGAAAAACCTATTCAGCCATCGAGTCCAAACTTCTGCTCAAGGAACCCAAGTCGAAGAAAATTGGACAGCCCTCGGTCAGATGTGCTTTCCTTTGGATTCCTGTCTTGAGCAAGGGGTTGGACTCTGTGGCCTTTCAGCTCCTTGATTCTATGATCCTATGAAAACATTGGCTGAAATCCTGTTGTGGAGCTCTGCAGGCGTAACTGGATGTTAAACCCACAGTAGCTACAATAGCGCTAAGGCAGAAGTGCTGTCCATGAAGGAGTTCTGCTAGCGCGTTGCATGGTGGTCCCAATAGGCATCACGTGAGACCAGTTAGTTGTGTGATCAAATTGCACAATTTGGTGTAATGCCCGGCAAATTTACATGGGTGTAACTTTTATCTTGCAACTGCACAGACAGGATTTTGGCTATTGATTTGAAGTAGCGGGGAGTTTGAGCTGATGGCCCCACCAGCCCTGGAACCATCTCTTAGCTGAGCTCTGGAACTGCCTCCTCCTTTCTGCCCTTCTACATAAATTGCAAAACCCCTCTCATTTGAAACCCATTGGCTTGCTTGTTCACAATGTGTGTCTGTTGTTAAAATATCTGCCTTTTTCAAGGTGTGGATCACGGATGTGAATCTCGCAACCTTTTGCTGTTGGTCAGAAATTGAGGGGGAAAACCTCGCCTTTTTCCCCCCTCCCAGAGAAATTCTTCTGTGTGTTTTTGCTTTTCGTTCTCTTTTGAGAAACTTCTTGAAATTTCCCAGACGTTTCATAGTCACCTTGTCCCAGAAGGAACACCGATCTGAATAGAATTACTGCAATTCCTGGGCAAAATGGTTAATCCAAGGTTGTCTGGAAAGGGTCTGCACGGAGCTGCACAGAACGTGGCAGTCTCGTGAACAAATGAACAGGCAAAAACGGGGAAACAAAACAAAACAAAAAACTAGACCGGGACTTCAGTTTCAAGAAATCTGGCTAGTGCAGAGGGAAGTCACTGCATGGCGAGACTTGGGGGAACAGCCAAAACATGAGAATGGTTTTCGAGTATTCTTCACAGTCTTCATATGGATAGCGGGGTATCTTGCTCTTAGGCGTGCATGGTTGTGGGCTCGGAAAAAGCAAAAAGTAAAGGATATTAATGAATAAAGTGAGCACGGTCGGTGGGAGAGGTTGCCTCACCCGGAAAACTGTCACGGATATCGCTTGGAAACATTACAGTTTGGAGAGTTCTGGGTGGTCACATATCCAGGCTCTGACCAGTGGCTGGTTTTTAGGATACGTCTTATTTTATAAAAATACAAGACACAGCCTTTGACTAGTGTTATATAGCAGATAGGAAGTTTGAACCAAGCACCTAAAGTATCCATTGAGTATCGGTGTAGGGTCTCTGCTGCTCCTAATATGGCCGTTCTTTGCTGCTCTGATGGTGTTATTTCAGAGGTATGCAGCTGATGAGGAGGGAGGAGGAGGAGGATTCTCATTGTGATTATTGAAAGCCATGCTTTCCCCCTGACCCCCCTCTTGTGTGTGCCCTCTGTCCCCGCTCTGCATAGCTGATGCTAAGTGAGCCTTGGCAGTGGGGCCCGCTTCCCCTTGATGGCAGCGTCTGAATGTGCCCCACTCCTTGGCCTCTCGCTCTACCCCAGCCCCCCCCCCAGGCCCCCCCCCCCGACCCCCACCG